GGGCAAGCTCGAGACACTGTGGATGGGTCTCAGCACACTTTGAGCGTGCCCAACACCCGCCAGGTATTTACATTCTGCACTGAGATTTCTACGACTTCCAAACACTCTCGCGAACCGGGTTACTGAGTTTTATGAGAAGCGCCGCCCACCTTGAGTACGCCCCACCCATTTTGGGGGTGTCTCCCACAGGTAGTCTGGCAACTCCTAGCTAAGCTTATTAAAAATTTTCCCCATCGTCAGGCTGCTCCGGAAGCGAATAATGAACATTTTTCTGCGGAACCCCAAAATTTCAGCGAGTGCCCCGCCCACTGTGGGCGGGGCTTCGCATAGGTCAAGTGTGCTTTTTATTTCTTGTCCCATGCTCTACCCATCCCCACCTTGACCCGACCTCTCCAAGTCGTTCTTCAGGTGAGAGTTAGGGATCCTCACCCTCTTCAGAAACTCCTGGTAAAGAGAATCGCTTTGTTGATCTACACCGCACAGGATGCTATGCAACCTACAGACTGTTGTGTTCAAATTCGCGCGCGCGGGAAGAACTGGCCGCCATCTGAATACCAGTACGCACGCCGCGTCCGCGCTTTATTGCGTTGGGGCGCGTTTTTTTAGACCCCCTTAAGTAAACCAACTTGTCTTTGAAGGGTTATAACTTTCTTTAATGCAGACCGTTAGGAAAGACGAAAACGCAGTCGTGTAAAAAAGATTTGTGCTTCCCGAAAAGTACTGAAATAAATTTGCCAAGTTCAGAGAGAAATTCAGCGTTGGGGATGGGTTGGGGATTTTCAAAATTGGATGCAAAAAGACCAAGACTGTCCTGGTTTGAACGAATATAATCTTCTAAAAACTTAATTGTTTGCAAATCTGGACCCAGCGTCGAATACTAGAGGATTCCTTCTTCCCAATAACCACTTCACTTGTTTCTGAAGTTTTCGGGATTCATGAGAAAAACGCGTTGGGGTTTTCTGAGGAACACTCCGAGCAGCGCGAAAACGCCGTTTTCTGTGTACCGTTTCAAGTGGGCGTATTCGGATATCCAGAAATGCATCTAAAATGCATCCCTTCGTGGAATAGGAACAAACAGTAGTCAGTTTAGCGCCCATTAGCTTCATTTGCGCCATGCTTATGCTCCCACGCAGAGGTAGTGGGATGGTGCAAGTTCTACGCAATGCCTGTCTACGCGAGCAGATGTGTTTGTAGGATTTGGGGAGGTCCATGGCCAACCTACGCACTTGCTTACAGTCTTGTCCGTTGCGGATGATGGCGTGTCCGCCCCATCATCCGCAACGGAGAACGGCAACCGCACGCCGTCAGATCCGTGCTCCACCACTTGCTAAGTCCGATAAAGGAGACCAACTGCTGGAAAACGTCTGATACGAACGATATGGTAGTCCTGTCGTTTGTCGAAAAAAAACAGGTTGGCTCAGTACCAAGCGCGGTCGCTCGGACACGCCCCATCATCCGCAGCGAACCAGGGTATGAGATGTACTGTTTAGTCATCTATGTACTTACGAAATGATGCCAACTTATTAATGTTTCCAGTTAATTTGGATTAGTTCAGTTAATGAAAGTTTTGTACTATTTTTTCACACATGTGGGTTCTCTACACGTCTTGGCTCGTTACCGAGTGAAGAACTAATTACGATCTCTCCCCTCTCCCAGCGGCCAAATACGACCCCCTGTTGGGGAATTCCTCCTTCCCCCCCCCGCCCAGTTGGGAATCCCCACACGCGATTGTGCGCGGCTTCAAAGAACCGCTTGTCACCCTCTTCTAAAAATTTGATTGTTTCTAATGATGTTTCAGTGTTATACAATGTCCTAGGCGAATCATTTAATCGTGTTAATAGAGCTGGATCGTAAACTGCTCATTGAGCGCTGTTGGGCTGCAGTGTTTGATGGAACGATATGTTCTCATGCTAAATGTCCGGGTGGGATCAGTTTATCAAGGATCGTTCTTTATTGATCCCAACCATCTCGGAAGTAAAAGCTTATCATTGAGAAGAACAACTAACTCACCCAATATAACCACCAAAATGTGATCCTTTGATCGGTTCAAATGTCCTCTTGTACCTCTCGTATTCTCTCGAATGCGATCAGTTGACAAACCGTGCAGCGCTCATATCATTTTGATGATTTAAGGTGTTTCAGATGTTCCAAGCATTTGTTCTTTTCGCTACCCTTCCTTATCTTTGCCACTGCCTTTTTGGTATCGGTAGACTGCAGTCAATTGCAGTTAAGGGCAAACTCGTATGCCACAACACCCCAGCATCAAAGGTCAAAGTGAAACTCTATGAAGAAGAAAAAAGTGAGTTCATTCAGCCGATGATGAGTCACTCTCCGGACTAAATCGATAAGCGAAATAAGTATTTAATGTTCCTGTGAAAGCCCTTCCCCATTGAAAACAGCTGATAACGAAAAGTAGTCTTCAAGCTAATATAGTTGAGTAATTGCAGTTCTCGACAAGAAGCTGGATCAATCGCGAACGGACTCCGACGGAAAGTTTTATCTATCGGGATCGAAGCGAGAGATTAGCAGAATCGATCCAAAAGTCAACATATACCACAAGTGTGGTTACAGTGGGGTAAGCCGCCGTGGAAGCATTTACCCATAACGGCTAATGTATCGCGAATACTGTTGGTAGAATTTTGTAACGTCGTTCGGCTTCTCCATCATTGTACGGGATAGGAAAGTTTAACAGCCCCCATGTGAACTCAGAAAATTCAACAATTGGTGAAAAGAACTCCATAATGCCATTTTGTGACAGAATGCGCAGCGTGGGAAGAGTTTTCTCCTTTTGTTGATCCACAAAATATTTTCGGTTGGCTATAATCCTATAACATATGTATGTTTGTTTATGTGTGCGCGCTCACATGCGTGCTTGCTTCTTCTTCTTCTCCCTAGCGTTAGTCCCGCGCCGTCGCAGGGTCCGCTGTTCTTGTTAGACGTCGCCACTTGTTCCGATCCACTGCATCTTCTGCCGTGGCTTTCACTTCAGTGAGGTCCTTCTTGATGACGTCCCTCCATCTTTTCTTTGGGGCTCCTCGTGGTCGCTTGCCCTCTACTTCGAATTCCAATGCCTTCCTTATTGGGTGGTCCTCAGGCCTTCTCAGCACGTGCCCATACCATCGCAGTCGCTGCTCTCGTGCCTTCAGCTGGATCGGAGCGGTCTGTGTGACCGCCCTGACGTCCTCGTTTCTGACTCTGTCGAGTCGTGTCCAGCCGCAGGCCCATCTCAGCATCCTCATTTCAGCCTTTCATGGTTCTTGCAGATGGGCCAGCACTCACTGCCGTAGAGCATTGTAGGCCTTACCACCGCCCGGTACACCTTGCCCTTGAGCGTTCTCGAGCACCCGGTACACCTTGCCTTGGAGTTCTTCCCTGCTGTCCGCTATCAGGGCGACTTCGTCAGCCCTGATAGCGGACAGCAGGGAAGAACTGTTAGAGGATGGTTTTCAGTGGTCCTCCATGAGTTCTTTTGCCATGACATCTAGAGTCAGGAGGAAGAGGAACGGGCTGAGGGCTGATCCTTGGTGTACCCCAAGCGTAATGTGCTTGGTGTGCTACGAAATTCGTAGCGTCCCGGTAGCAGTGAGACATTGTTCTCAAGATATGATATAGAGTATGCGACAAAAACGTTATTAGCGGGCGACAGGGACAGAAGGTGATAAGATTTGATGGGAGGCCTTAGAAGGGAGCTCATCAAATTGAATGCTCGGGTCACAGCAACAGTAGGAAGTTGATTCCAAAATATGGTGTAGAATATTGGACGGGAATATTATTAGTGAGTGAAAATAATTATGAACAGCTGATTAGGTTGGGCTCACCGGTGGGTGGGTGACAGAAAATGGTAAGAACTGGTAGAGGCTGATAAGTTACGTTGCTCTCGTCGTCATTGTTCAAGGTGATGGAGCTTTTACACTGCAAATCGTAAAGGTTCAGTGAGAGAGAGATCGTCTGACACGTAATCATATCGTTTATGCAAAAAAATAGGGACCTAGGAGGCAGGTATAAGAGGATAAATAACAGGATTAAAATAGATTAAAGGCAGCTGGCACGATAACTTGGTACCTGGCTAAAAATGCTATCAGGGCCCGATAGAGGAAAAATGGCGAAAAAACGAAGTGAAGCGGTCAAAAACCTGCGAAGAAAAAGTTTTCGTCCTTAATGGGTCGAAAAGCGATTTCCAGTTTCCCGCAGGCATCTTGCTAATATCCGCTACGGTAGGCTGCTGCACGCATGTTCTAATAGATCCATGCAGCACTGCAGCTGCTTCATACCATTCCTTCGCTTCATATTTTACTTAGCAAATGAAGCAATACGAGCAAGCAAATGAAGCAATACGAGCATCAGGTGATGTCGTTCATTTGTGGGCGGTCAGGCGCGGTGGGCGTCCGGGTCGGTATTTTGTAGCTCGATAAAAGGAGAAAAAGGATAAGCTCTTCGATGTTGATCAATATTTTTGCCGGATGCGGGATCGTAGTGGCTCATTGGACGCAGTGTGGCCTATACAACCGGGCCAGCCGATTTACAAATCAGTATTATCCTCCCAGACGAATCTGTTACCAATTTACCGTCCCCGAGGGGTAGAAGGCTTGGTTGGCCTAGGCGGGAGTCGACCCGGGATTCGAACAGTGGTGAGAGCACCACTTGTCACTACACACCTCCTGCCCGTTGTGGCTTGATAGGGCTACAACGTACATTTCATCGTTGTCAGCATTCACCATTCTATGAAACTCTGGAAAGTGAGAGAGGCTTAATATCGAATCCTAGACTCAGGTATCCTCCCCCTCAATGAGGGAAAATGTTCAAGACGACTGGAACAATAAGTGATTCCAATAGAGGATATATTCAGAAAAACAGTTCAAATATTATTCTTTAGCGTTTGACCCATTCGGCTTTATCGTTCAGAGGAGAGGCTGTTCGATCTGTTGACACCATTTCTTCCCCCCCCCCCCAATGCCCGATCGACATAGGCGTCAGCTACGAAAATACGATTTGAATGACCTATTTCGTATTTGGCTCATTTTGAAGAGGCTGCATGTCACATTCCAGAGTGTTCAAAAAATATAATCATTTGCCATAATGTGGTCGCCATTTGGTTTAGTATTTTCTACAGTCCTTTGATAATTTCGTATTTTAGCCGTGCTACAAAAAACTTAGCATCAAAATTCCGAAAAAATACATTACGAAAGGACGTTATCCAAAGAAAACGTACGACATAGGAACTTTGAATCTTGAGAACAAGTTCAGTGGTCAAACAACTGATTGTATTAACTGAACGAGATTGAGAAGTAATTGCCGACAACCTCGGTCACTAATAAAGAATTCACCAATTTGTGTTGCACATATTGGACTTTGTTCAACAGAAGAAGGGTTCCAACTCTCCATGGTACTTTGGATGAGGACCTATGTATGTCGATAGACTCTCGAATGCTGATTCTCTTGTCTCATTTATGAGGTCTCACGAAGGAATGGCTTCAACTTCTAATGATACTTTGAGAGTACCTAACTTGAAGAACTATGTGCATCAATAAATTTTTGAACGTTGCTCAGGAATATTAAGATTAAAAATGCTACAAGAATCTTCCAAACAAGTTCTTGGCGATCAAAGTTTGCGATGGCTGTAGTGCTGGCAGGTAGGTGGGTGTTACCGTAGCCTAGTAGCAACAGTTTCGCTTCACGGGTGCAATTATGGTTTTCTTCCTGTTGACGCGAGAACTTTTGCTTCGTTCTCAAGAGGGGCTCATTCCAACTGGACATGTATTCAACCGAACAACCTAGCAAAGCGCGTTGGTCAATTACTGATTAAGTAACCCACGAATCAATAATAAATACTTGTAGTCTCGTCCAAAACGTGCTAACGCCGAGCCAATGTGAAACACCGAATTCACGTGATTTTGTCGCACTCTGGTTGTTCACTTACCAGAATGCCAATAGCACGTCACTCAGGTCGAAATTGGCTCCGGTCACTTTCCATGTTTCGTCAGTGA